TTGCAGTTTTGGGTCTTTTCTTAGCAGTAAGAAAGCTGGAATTAATACTTTTATATCTGAAAATATTTGGTTCAGGATGTAAGTGATCGTCCCTAAGATGGATTCTGAGAAAGGACCGCCTGGAATAGCATACTGAGGGGAGTGGGCAGAATCGATGGGTTGATTTTTCAAGTGTGCTCATCTCTGATGAATATGCAAATGCCACTGCCGAGGAAGGCACAAAGAAGCTTTTCCCTCGGATTCAGTGGACACAGTGTAGAGAAATGGCATGAAATGCATAAATTATGGAGCCTAAGTAGCATATTGAAGTTCTGTTTGGATGATGCCACTATACACATATTCCCTGAGATGCTGACCATTTTCTGTAGAAATGGAACGTGGAGCTCAACACAACCCATGTATTCCTCTGATGTTTTTATGCTTCTATGAAAGTTCTCATGGCTGCTGCAAATTCTCCCCCTTAGAAATGTATTAGGATTACCTGGAACTCTATTACATCATGTCATCACTAAGCTGGCTGCCCGGGCAAAGTGCTATAAAAATACATCGTTTGTTTTCACGGAGCTTGTTTTTTGCTTTCCAAGGTCTTCTTTCCTTTCTCTCCGCAGTCTGGAACAGGCTGTTTATTCCACGTGAGCGTGTGAGTGACCCCGAAGCAAGACAAACACCATTACCCTCCCATTCACCCCGAAGAGTTTTCCTGATATTGCAATTGAAGTAGCAGGAAGTCAGGGCCACCCAAGGAAAGCGTGCCATGGCTTCTTTCCTGCGATGTCCTATTGGTTCACCCGGTGGCCTCCATGTTTCCCACACAGATACTGTTATCACCCATCTTTGTCTTTCTAAGGGGCAGTGTTTTTAAGTTAAAAAATAAAAAAGAACTGATTTATAACTGAGGAAAGAATGACTTGTGAACCCTACTCAGAAAATAAGAGTATTAGGCCCTGGCCAGGTGGCTCTCTTAGTGGAGTGTCATCCTCATACACCAAAAGGTTGTGGCTTCGATCCCTGGTCAGGGCACATATGGGAGATGATCAATTGATATCTCTCTCTCGTCAATAAAAACATATCCTCGGGTAGGGATTTTTAAAAAATTATATTTTAGTAATTTAAAAAAAAATGTGTCTTTAGAATTGAGTGACACCCTTTTAGGTTCACAGTCTCTAAATTTGTTCTAAAGTTCAAGTTCAAATTCTTGGTCCTGTAGAAGACAGACAGACAGACAGAGAGAAAGAGAGAGAGAGAGGTGTATTTGCACTTACTTAAGGAACCACAGACATAATTTTGCAACCATTTTCTGCTGTGAACAAATGTTCACAGGAAAAGTTACTGCATGTTGAAATGTCTGTCTTTTATTTGTAATAGAAAAGGTTTTTATTAATATTTTGGGAACATGTTCCTAAAATCCTTTTATTTATTTCAATAGACACTGGCTTGTTTCAGTCGTTTTAGAATGGGGCTCATCTTTTTGTCCATGAGATCACTACACAATAGGCATTTATATTTGAGAGACCACGGCCGAATTGTGCTAAAACTATTCATTTTCACCTGTGCGGTGCTATACGCCTCCAATTAGACAGCTCCACCAACGCGGCAGCTGGCGCCAGCCCCCCGCGTATCGCAAACTGCAGAACGATTATTTGGGGACGCTTCCTAATTACACGAGATGAAAATGTTGGCAGCCAGGAGATACCGGCTTTCCAAGATTTGCCGGAAATTTTAATGAAAGTGCCACAAACATGTTACTTAGGATGGTTGTTTGCACTTAATATGAGGCGGTGTTCTCTCTGGATTTCAAAGTCTGGACTAATTAATTAGCCCTAATCCCCGTCTTCCTGCCGGTCAAGCACTCAGACGGCCTGGCGGGATCGGAGTTATCACAGGGAAGGAGGAGGAGTGCCCCTGGGGTCGGAGGCCGGGCTAGTTAACACCTGTTGGGTTAGTCTTGGTTTCTCCCACACCTGAGCCTGTGACCCTGGAGGCCCTGAGCCAGCACACCAGGGCCTTCCGTGTAAAATGAAGTCCCACTGGCGGTGTGCACACCAGCAGGGCTCTGTTGAGGCTGCAGCAGCCCTTCAGAAGTCAGAGCCCTGTACACCACGCTGCCAGAAATACTCCCTCTCTGGCCCTTCACAGAATAAGTTTACTGCCCCTGACTTAACGTCTGCCAACCTGCTTTCCCATTTGTGAAATGAAACGCAACAGTCACAAAGCAGCAACTTCGTGAGAAGAGGCACGTTTTTTGTTGTTGTTGTCTTTTTTAAAATCTTCATCCTAGGATATGTTTTGATTTTTAGAGAGGGAGGAAGGGAGAGAGAAACATAGATCGCCTGCATCCTGCACGCCCCCTACTGGGGACTGAGCCCGCAATCTGGACATGTGCTCTGACCAGGAATCGGATGGGCAACCCTTGGTGCTGGGAGGGAGTAGCTCCATGGACCGAGCCACGCCAGCGAGGGCGGCTTTCTGGAATTTAAATATAAACACTGACATGAAGTCAAGCGGCCACATTTCAGGGTCCCTCCAGCCCTGATTGTTCTCTGTGCCTGGAAAGGGTTCCCAGGTGCCTCACACCAGCGTGATGCTGGTTTGAGATGGACACTCTCACTTGGGGGGCTCGGTCATCCTTGAGCCAGGCCATATAAATTGTTTAAAACCATAAATAGAATAGACCAAAGGAATTCTCGCTCATGGTGCTGGAGGTGTTTCATGAAATGGGTGTCAGAGCTTGGGCAGAGGCTGAGGAGAACAGACCTGGGCAGGCCGCTACGGGAGAGGGGCGTTCAGGGGGCGAGGCCGCCAGCTGCGCAGGCCGTGGAGGTGAGGACGCCTGGACGTGTGTGCGGAAAGCCAAGTGGCCGGCTTGACGGGAAGAGCTTGGGTGAAGGGCTGTGGCAGGATGAGCCCGGGGTGGCGGGTGGCAGAGCAGCAGGAGGTCATGGAGCTCACAGATGGCTGATGGGATTGAACCCGCTTCTGCAGGCAGGAGAAGCTTCCGGAACTTTGGGGCGAGGGCAGGAAGCATTGTCGGGCTTGTATGAGGCTTCTGGGTCCTGTGGAGCTAGGGCGACTTTGCCTGCTGTAGACCAAACAGGGCCAACATTTCCCAAAGGGGCCTGAGAGCCCAGCTTCCACGGCCTCAGTGTCAGCCAGTACATGGCGTTCTACTGTGTAAGTGGGTAATTCCCTTATTTTCTATTTGTCAGTTACAGTTGGCATTCAATATTATTTTGATTATTTTCAGGGGAAAATACTATATAGCTACAATGAAAGGAAACTTTCTGAAATTATCACTAGGTGTAAATTGCTCAATAAAACGTTCAGTTTTTCTTCAGGTTTGGGTATCTTCAGTTATAGGGTATCTTTTAACCTTGTGCTCAGTGGTAGAGTGTCAGCCACCTAACGAAGGATCTGGGGTTCAATTCCTAGTCAAGGGCAGGTTTGGTCCGCTGTCCTGGTCGAGGTGCCTGCAGGAGGCAACCAATCAATGTGTCTCTCTCACATTGATGTTTCTCTCTCTCTCTCTCTCTCTCTCCCCTTCCCTCCCTCCCTCCCTCCCATCCTCCTTTTCACACTCTCTAAAAATCAATAGAAAAAATATCCTCAGGTGAGGATTAACAAAATAAATAAATTAATTAATTAAGGACATATCCATTGAGTTCTAATTTGATAAAAATTATTGAATCCCAGCCCAAGTTTTCACATCCCATGCTTTAAACAAGTGGGAATAGCCTCTTGCGTGCGTGTGTCTGACTTTTCACCTGAAATTCCCTTCTCTCAGTCCTGTTCCGGGCGCTGGTCAGGAGGCGATACGTGAACAACCTGGCAATGTCCCTCGTCATAAGCTTTTCAATTATTGAAAATTAGCTAACTCCCCATAGAAGAGAAATCATTAAATATATAGTAAATAATGAGGTTAATTAACTTAACCCTTCTAATTAGGAAACTAATTAAATCAGAAAATTAAAACTGACACAAGACATTAAAATCAGGAAGTTCTGAGCTTAGATCTAAAAACCATCTCTTGGCCTTTGACTGATTCCAAAAGAGAAATACCACAGAAATGCCAGGCCGTGGGCTCTCGGCCTGTGCAGTCACATTCCCACTCCACAAACCTCCTTCTCAGAGCTTACCTTCCCTCCATCCATTACATCTGAAATTAAACTGTTCATTTTCATTTGGGGGGAGTAGTTGTCGGTTTATGTTTTCTTAAATTTTATTTTTTCAATTACAGTTTACAGTCAACATTATTTTTTATTAGTTTCAGGTGTAAAGCATAGTGGGTAGACACCTTTTAATTTTTTTATTTTATTTTATTTTTTTTAAAGAATGAATGAAGGTAATCCAAACAGATGGATTTGGCCAAAGTTCTGCTGGTCATTGAATTCTCTGGGCCCGAGTGCTCATCCTCAGTATATTCTGTGAAAGGATTGAGCCTGACTCAATGTCTTACAGGTGCAAACAGACCAGGAAGCTGGAGGTGGGGGGCTGTTCAAGTCTTTGTCAGTCTCACATCGTCTAGAGCAGTGGTCAGCAAATTGCGGCCCCTTGAGTGTGGCTCTTCCACAAAATACCATGTGCGGGCGCGCACGTACAGTGGTATTGAAACTTCGTGGCCACACTCAAGGGGCCAAAGAGCAGCATGTGGCTCGCGAGCCGCAGTTTGCCGACCACTGGTCTAGAGTCTAGTAGACCCAGGTCCCGGCTCAGGATCTTCACTCATTCATTGGTGAACTATCTGAGATCAAATTAAGGATATATTTTGCAAAAAAGCCCAACTCTCTTTACAACCCTATACTGTGATGCCTGTCACCATTTGCTTTGGATATAAATGTCTTTCCTCTGGGAAAAGTCTCAGAGTAAACACGGAATAGAGAATAAGGCTGACGTGCTGTGTGCCATTGGCAATGGTGGTTCTAAGCTTAAAAATATCTAAGCAGGTATCCTGCTAGAAGCTTTCAGCCCGTCCAACCTTTTTACGTGTTCCCACTCTCCGTGCAATGGACAAGAGCCTGGGCACCATGGCCAGGCCCTTCTGTGTCCACTTTGGGCAGGTGAGCCAACGTGGACTCCCCAAACCCAGCACCAGAATCATTTTGCTAGAGAGATCTCTGATAGGCACTTGATCTCACCTGCAGAAAGGTGAGCAGCCCCAAATGTCAGGGCACGTGCTCTAGGATGGACATCCGGGACCTGCACCGGTGAGCACTGGCAGGTGAGTATGGCCAGCCTGATCACGGTGGTACACAGCCAGCAGGGGCTGCTGGGGCACCATTCCACCCCCCAAGTTTGAATGCTCCACTCCATAAACAAAGGCACTCTGATCCCTTGGCCTAATAAGGCTGCTGGTACTTGACATCCAAGGGTCAGTATGATTCCTAATGATAATCTTATTTTCACCACTTCAAAGGTCACAAAGGCAGCCACAGGGCCGGCCTATGGGATCTGCTAAGCTCTTCCCCTCCAATGACCACGGGTTATTCTACACCTCCAGCCCTACAGCCACTCTGCTGGATGCCTGGACCTGCGTGCCCTGCCTGCGAGGACCTTCTCTAAGCCTCTGCTGCATTAGGATGCACTCCCCAGGCTTAGGCTTGTGTATCCACAATCGGTGAGTCTTCCCAGGGCAGACATGATAACTTATTTCAGAGGAAACAGTTCTCAATGTCCCCACCAGTGCCCCGTGTCCCTTGGGTTAGTTAGGGCAACCGGGGGAGCAGCGCACTCAAATCAGGATCATCTGAGAAAGCTGGCGTTGAAGGGGCGGCTGACAGAGGCATGCAGGATGCCTAGCCTGGGCCCACAGGGCTGAGAGGAAGGATGAGCAGAACCTGGAAGGCAGATGAGCGCTGCATGAAACAGGTGACTTAGGCAGCTCAAGGCAAACTGGTAGGAACTGGGAAATAAACACCCTGACCGCCTCTTCTCCTTCCTCACCTCTCCATCTGCTGGGGTTCCCCATCCACTAAATTCAACCGGAAGCCTGAGTACAAGGGCGTCTGTTGATATAAGCCAGGCTGGGCAGCAGCCGGGGACTGAGGCCAGGTAAAGGGTGGGTCTGAGGGTGGAGAGACAGAGGAAGGCCCAGCATGTCCATGACAGGCCTCAGTAAATACCTGATTGCTTTTTATGAAGAACCTATTCGTCCTTTCCAATAACCCCAAGTCCAACAATTATCTATGGAGTAGCTATGTGAAAGCATGATTTTTTGAAATAATCTTTAAGACTTTTTAATTTTACATTATATTGCATTCTCTAATTTTAATTTGTAGATGTAGATTATTTTTTTTTTGAAAACTAAAAATGGCAGAAATTACCAAGATGACCTCCATCTCACATCCTTTCCCTGAACACATAGGAAGACTACATTTCCCAGCCTCCCTTGCAGTTTATGTTGGTATCATGAGACAAGTTCTAGCCAATGAAAGTGGCTGGACAGGGACATAACGCCATTCTTTTTCTAGACTTGGCTGAGAACCTCCAGAATGGTATTTCTCCGTGCTTTCTCCCCGTGTGCACAGCTGGAAGCAAATGGCTCTCTGTCAGAAGACCTCAGTGCCCACTCAGAGGAAAGCTGAGCAAGCCACCAAGTTGTGTGCAAGGAAGTTTCAATGTTTTAATCCAATGAAATATGTAGTTTGGCCCAACATCATCTTAAACCAGGTTTCTCAGCAGCAGCACTGGTGACATTTGCACGGGGTACATGGTGTGGGGCTGCCCTGTGCATCACAGGTCAGAACCTTCCTGGCCTCGACTAGATGCCAGCAGCACCCTCGCCCCTCCAGTTATGACAACCAATGTCTGCAGACGTTGCCAATCCCCCCTGGGAGGCAAAACTGCCCATAGTTGAGAACTGCTGATGTAAGCCTTCTGGATAGGTGCCAGGTGGGGGGTAGGCATGGGACAGTTCGCCCGAGAGCATGGAACTGCACAATACGTTACATAGGTGCTTATTTTAAGATGACTGCTTCATTGCAGCACTGTAACTGTTAAATTGGAAACAGCAAAGGTGTGACAATACAGAATTGGTTGAATTAAGGTACATTAAAGATGGAGCATTCTGTACCCATTAAAGATATAGACCTAACATTTGGAAGGACATGGAAGGACATTCTTGTTTAGCAATGACAGAAGAGTGTGTGTGGTATAATTTCTTTTTAAAAAATGTTTTTATTGATTAGAGAGAGGGGGAGGAGAGAAACAAAACATCAATGGGCTGCCTCCCATACATACCCCACCCAGGGGATTGAACCCGAAACCTGGGCATGTGCCCTGATCAGAATCAAACCAGTGACCTTTCAGTATAAGAGGGATGATGCTCCAACCAACCAAGCCACACACCCCCGGCTGACCTCAGGCCTGTTTGTGCCTCTAAGTTAGGTGTTCTTCCCTTTCATGAAAAGGTTAAACATTGTAGTCTATAAAGTCAAATTAAAGGTTACGAAACATAGAGCATGTCTATCTCCCTGGGTGTGTGACGAGCTGAATGGAACACATGAGAACAAGACTGAGATGGCTTTCAGAAAGGCCTTTGGCAATACCTAACTAACTGCCCAAATTCCCACCGGGTGGTACAAGTTAGGTTAAACAGTCTCAATCTACTTTTGCTTTTTCTAAATATCACACTCCACCCCGCAGCCTTGGATGATCTAATTTTGCAAAATACAAACTAAGATGCGGGAAGAGACTGGACAATAATCGTGCACCTATGGATGAGGACAGTGGGTGGGGAGTGAGGGAGAGGGGTGGGGACTGAGTGGAGGGGAGCTATGGGGGGAAAAAGAGGAACAACTGTAATAATCTGAACAATAAAGATTTAATTAAAAAAATCATTGACGAGAAACACCTTATTCGTGAATAATACACAGCAGTTTCACTGTGGCAGTTTTCCCTGTAATTCTGTGAAAGGACAGTTTAGATCACAGACACGGACCTGTGCTGACAGTGATTTTTATGGGTCGTGGTGCTGATTTTAAAACGTTGAATTGCCATCGTTAAGCCTTCTGGTGAGTGGGTGATTCTTCATGTCATGGGGTCAGTTTTGCAGACTTCCTCAGAACACCCATTCTGCCCATGAAATTCAGTTTCACCTGAAGATGCTTATTTTTCATCTCTGGCAAAGTTGCTGTGTTCGCTATACCCTACGGAATGTTTTCTTGGTGTGAATCTGCCCCAGGCCTTCCTGGAGCCGGTGCCAGGAGGCCACCATGTTCCACACCATCCCTGCCCAGTTCAATGTGCGCTATACAATTTCTGACAGGTTGATGAATTTTTATCTTATTTTTTGTTAATTCTCACCTGAGAGTATTTTTTCCATTGATTTTCAGAGAGTGGGAGGGAGGGAGGGAAGGAGGGGGAGAGAGAGGAAAGGAGAGAGACAGCGATGTGAGAGAGACACATCGATTGGTTGTCTCCCACACCTGCAATGCAGGTACATGCCCTTGACGGGGAATCGAACCCGAGACCCTTCGGTGAGCAGGCCGACGCTCTAACCACTGAGACAGCAAATTTCTTAGTCCCAGAATCTGCTTTACAGTTATCAGCAGTAACAGCAGGGTGAACGTGGCCTGCTGAAAGTTCCTTTTTAACTAACGGAATAAAGTACCAGTTGAGGTCTGCTTTACGTTTTTAATATAAACTGACATGCTTAGTTCATGTTTAACCAAAGAAGAAAAGAGCTAAACAAGTGCTCCAACACAGGCCGACTAATTTCAGTTCTGTATTTAGAACTAATTTGTCCTGGCCGATGTGACTCAGTTGGTTTGGCGGCAACTGGTGCACCGAGAGATGTGGGGTTCGACTCAAGTCAGGGCACATGGGGGGTGAGTAGGAGGCGGCTGATTGATGCTTCTATCTCATCGTTTCTCTCCCTCTCCCTTCCTAAGAAAATCAATAAAAACACGTTTTTTAAAAAAGAACTAACTACACTAAATGTTTATGTTATAATGGTCAATATCAAATATATTGTGTATTTAAAGGAAGGAGAATTCTTATTCAGGCATGCACTCAATGTTTTAATTATCTGTAAAAGGAATGTGTTAGCTTTTGAATAATGCTATTTCACACTGTACAAAAGACAAAATTAGGATGATAAAACGTAATTGTAAAGGGCTCACTTTCTGCCCATACAAAACCTCTCGGTACACACGCAGCAGGAGGGCGGTCACGCCTCCCGCACCTGTTGGGGCCAGCGCACCGATGGCTGAGCCCGCACGGCACCTTCGAACTTCTCTGTGGTCGGACTGCAACGATAACGCATTAATGTCACGAGAGTGCCACGGTAACGCTCTCGAAATACTTTCCCTATTTCCTGAAAATATATTTTTATTGATTTCAGAGAAGGAGGGAGAGAGAGAAACATCAACGATGAGAGAGAACCATTAACCGCGGCCTCCTGCACGCCCCGCGCTGGGGAGGGAGCCCGCCACCCGGGCATGAGCCCTTGACTAGAATCGAACCGTGACCTCCTGGTTCATAGGTCAACGCTCAACCATGAAGCCACCCAGCTGGTCACTGAGGGAAACTTTGCGGGGAGAGGCTGGTCAATGAAACGGGGGTGGGGGAGAGGGAGGAGGGAGAGGGAGGGAGAGCGTGGA